ATCTTCTTCTCAGTTGCTTCCTGGGACTTGCATGTTCGCTTGTATTAGTAACATGGAATTCTCTGAAGGGATCTGTATATCCCTTATGTGATTTCCTATTCCGACCTCCTTTTCATTCGGTCTCCCGACGTGCATTTTAGCGCCGGCAGTATCCGCTCAAAACCCCATTTAGCCAGGCGTTCGTTATCGTCCCCCCGCTCCAGACTAACAATCACTGGAGAAGCATCCGCACGCAGCTATGGAGGCTTTAATTTTTTATTTATGTGCGCCTTCTGTTGAACAATTTTGACCTTCAATATGTCCGGCGGTAGTCTTCGATTTCCAACTTGTTTTAGCGTAGTGCTTGCCTCGACAAGCAGGGAAATGTAAGATATTAAAAAAAATCGTGCTTCGGTTGCGGTTAACGTCTTATTCATTTTTCAATTTTTTTTGAATTCTCATGTCAATCCCATTTTATATTGATCCACATTGAAGTACATGACTTTCCTTCTACGATGATCGCTTGACTTATAATTCGGGCAAATTTAATTATCTACCCGCTCTTGGTACCTTTTGTGCACCAAGTTAGCGCTTTCTTGCGGGATCCCACATCCGTCAATCACACCTAGGGAATCAATTTATCCCGCGCGTGTGCTGTTAATTAAAAGTGTCGGAATCTGAAAGAAAGGTCATATGTGAACTTGAAATTGTCGAAAAATACATACTCCCGACCGCATGTAGGTGGAAAAACCAATCTCGAAACCATGGTTCTATTATCCCGACGCTTTAAAAACAAAGAAGTTTTTGACAGTAGAAGTGGATCCTGTATTGCATCATATTGGGTGAGGGACTACGCCAATATAACGTTAGTAACAGGGGAGGGGGAAGAGTCATCTCTACCATCACAGAAAAGGCGGTGAAGGGTAGAGGATTCCATCACTTCTCACGCCTTTCACCTTGACCGTTGTTTGTGCGATGTAGGCTGTCGCTCATATCCGCACTGAAATTACTTATTACACTTAAGCGGCTAATCTCGTTTGAACGCGTTAGCTGCCCTTACCCTTGTTCATCTGTACACTGCTTGCGTCTTTGATTCTTGTTGTGGTGAGTCTACGTGCGTGCCTGGTTTAGGTTATTCAGTATCGGATTCACGTCTGCTCTTTTGCTCAGCGGGTTGCGTTTGGAAGCGTTAATGGGCTGCACGAAGGACCACACAACAATTGAGCAAGGTTGTCTTTGTGTGAAAGTTTTCGTTAGTTTCCTGTGGCATGTGGCCAGTCCTTCGACCAGGATTTTAACCTTCTGGAAGACAAGAGTGATGGCTAATAAACCAGAAATGGCCATTCCGGTCCTCTCTGTCTTTGTCGAATCCATTTCATCCTCTTCCACAAGTTGCTATGTGACTGCCTGCAAGGTCTCTAAAGTGAACTTCAGGGCAAAAATGGAACGCAGATGTTCCTTAACCAGATCGGCGAGTCTCACATATTCAGCATATTCCCAATCTCAAACGACGAAGCAACGAGCCGGTGGTGTAATGGTAGAGAGTTGAACTGAATGACCAACGGTCCCGGGTTCGAATCTCGGGTGATCCACACTCGGGATTGGGTATGACTTGCTGAAGACGGCAAATAAACCAGAAATGACCATTCCGGTCTCCCTTGTCTTTGTCTGATTCATATCAGAAAAACGTGGGTCTGGAGTTTGCACATTCTTCCTCCAACGTGGACAAAGAGCCCATTCTGTATACTATGATCATGCATTTTATTCGTAGGGAATAGGGAATTGGGTGCTTAGTTACTACGATCAAGTGTCAACTGAAATAATTTCCTGCAAGAAATATAAAGAGGGACAAAGGTTCGTCCTTACTTAGACATATAAATCGATGAAATAACTGCATGTTATACAGGTAATAATGATTACAGTCTGACCTACACGGGTAGCTGATCGGATTCTCAATCACAAAGCAAATGTCACTGGCCTAGGAATTAAGTGTATCTTATGCCTCACGATTTTCAATGCGTCTCAGGAAATACGTTCCGTTTGAAAGCCTTCTTTTCAGGATTTTTGTTGATTTCTATTGAATTATAGCCTAATTGTACTGCAAGGTCTACTAGCTGGTCATTTTTTCAACGAATCTAGGTCATTTTTTGTAAGTCATGAATCATCAAACTTTCTAACGTTGATCTCTTTCAGGCCTTCTGATTCAAAGTTCTGTGCCCTACCTTCCTAATCATCTTCCAAAAATGCCGCTTTCGGACCAACGTCTTAAGGATCTCAAGGCTTGCATCCTCGCCTTTCACCAAAATCCTAGCCAACCGATTGATGACAGGCATCCTATCATGAATAACTTTTTTTCCACTTTGGAACGAATATTTCGATATGGCTTGAAGGCGGGAGCATCGCGTGGCGGTCAAACTAAGTGGGATCCCTGGAACTGGATAGAAAAGCTTCCCTCCTGTACATCTAATTCGGGCCTTTTTGTTCCTTATCAGTTGTTGAAGGCCATCGACGAAGTGAGTGCTCCGTATTCGGTCTCCGACCTTTCCAATACCTTATTTCTATAATTTAATGTTAAGTATTAAGGAGGTTTGGCAGATTTGGTTAATTTAGTTGACCCAACTATGAAGAAACTCGCGGCTTTCGGCGGGATCCGAACCTGCATAGGAGGGAAGGCCTTCTACGTAAGCTAACACTCTATCTACTTGAGCTACGAATGCCACGCTTCACACCGTGAGTTTAATTATACCTGAATCGATATTACCTGCCCAACTTTACCGCTCGTATGGAATCCACCAATACGGGACAGCAAGTTGACT